TCTGGGGCTCTGCCTACTCATTCACCCCCCAAGAACCTTGTTCTGATGTCAGCTTCACCTCATAGCATTCCTGGACCCTCCTCTCTAGGAGGACTGGTACCCCCTCCCTATATGCTTACTGTTTCACTTAATCATAATGGCCTTTCACATAGCAGGTCTCAAGAACAAGACACTGCTTGTGCTGGGCAGCATCCCCATAGCAAACCCAGCAGAAATGTAAAGTCTTCTTTACAGTTTAACTATCCTCACCACAGCACACCTCAGTGACTCTGCAAATGGCCTACCTCTGTCTCCCTCTCCACCCTTCACTGCTCCTGGAGGCTGCAGAATGCTCCTGACCACCAACTTTTATCTACTGTCAGTGCGACCAGGTCTCCCCTAAGATGCCACAGAGCCTAAGAAATCTATCCCCAAAGGCCCAGCTCGGGGCTTGAGCTCAGAGAATTTTTTCAAGAGCTTCAACAGATGTCTTGGGCCCCTGGCTCAAGGTGTGTTCCTCACGACAGTTGAAAGCATCTCCCCTGCAGGCTGATGACCCTGCCCTTCCCCTCACTAGGATGGTAGGCAGTCTTAACTCATAGACATGTGATGGTCACGGGGGTGGGGGTTGTTTCAGCACATGAGCTTTGGAGTTATACAGGATAAGGTGTCAAGGGTCAGGGCATCACTGCTATGTATGAGACATTGCAAGACCCTGTATAGGTCTCCTTTGGTCTCTAAGCCTCAGTTTTCTCATCCATAAAATGGATATGGTACAGAGGCACTTCCCACTGGATTCACACAGTGTTCAGAGTACAGGCGGTGGGAAGGAAGGAGAGTTGTGTCGAACCACTCTCTGCTGCATAGATCTGATGTCAGTTCTGCAAAAAATGGATTCTGTGGCTCACTGAGTTTCTCTGAAATGGCAGAATAACAAGAGAGAACAATGACACAGGAGGAAAGGCAACTTTCTGCTCCAAAATAGGGTCAAAGATGCCTCCAGTTTCTTCTGTTCCTCCCCTTCTCAACTGTGGAAACACATCCACGAGACCCTCCTCAGATCAGGAACCAGACTGGAGTCTGAACAGAATACAGGGAGCTACTATAGGTTTAATTAAGCTATTGCTAACCATTTCATTTCACTTAATCCCAGCAACACCCTCACCCATTTGACAGAGGAGGAAAACTGAAGATCAGAGAGGTTAAGTATTGTTGCCCAAGGTCACCTTGCTAGGAGGTAGTATGGAAACATACATTTTCCTGACATAACTGCTCCAGTGGGAATTGACAGCTTTTCTAAATTTGATGAGCATGGGACCAGAGCTGGGAAAACCTTCCAAGTTCTGTTAACCACTGGAATGGACACAAAGAGAAGCATAGAGAGCTGGCATTCTCTAGGAGGTCCAGGAGCCAGGAAGGCTTCATGGTGGAGGTGAGGGCTAGTGTCAGGCCTTGAAGGATGGCGAGACTATACTTGCCAGAGAGGTCTTCCAGGAAGAAGTGAAAGCAAAAACAAACACTTAGAAGTGGAAACAGAACCAAGCTAGGCTGGTCAAGACTCCTGGAGAAGCCCATACCTGCTGTTGAAAGGTTTCTGGGAAAGATGTCTTATCCCCCATGTAATGGTTTGCCCATCCCCAGGAAAGCAAGAGAGTTAAGAGGTGGGGACCTGGTCTGCTGCTCTTCACTGAGTCATTACACTCTCTGTGTGCCCCTTCCCCACTGAACCAATGGAGAAAAGCGTGTTGTGTCTACAGATTGCTGCTAAGAGCCTTTCAAAGGTTGGCTTGCCTATTAGGTCTCTATGGAAAAGGGGGAAACTTGCCTCTTGGAATATCTAGAGAGATAAGAGTTATGTGGTCCCTGAGGAACAGCTATTTCTGAGGAAAAACAATAGTATGAGTTGGAGCACATTCTTTTCTGGCAAGAGCAAGCCTCCTCCCATCCACCATCCCCCACCATCAAGACAGCAAAATCAGCTAAGGGCTCGGAACCATTCAGCTGATGAATTTCCCCTTCAAGAAAGGGGTGAAAGCAGCATGGGTGACAGCTGGAGGTGTCTGGGTATTAAACATGACAAGGATAAAGGCCACAATACAGTCATTTAACTGCTCTTTGGCTTTTGGAATCCTGAAATTTCCAACTCATTGTGATTCAAATAATTATAAAGTTCTTCCCTAGAATGGAGATATCCCTTGGCTTGTCAGATCCTAAAACAAGGGTGTAGATTAATTAGTTGGGTCAGAATACAGAGGTCCTTGAATCCCATGTTGTTCAAGATGGTGGCAGGATGGAGGGGCTAGAATGTGGAGCAAAGCCAGGAAGCAGACAAGCCAGATGTGCTTGGGGAGCAGTGAACATGGTCGTGGCTGCAGCATGTATGGGTTGGCAGGAAAAGAGGAGGGCATGGGTCTGCAGAAGGAGGTTGGACCAGGGTACGAATCACAGGCTGTATCTGTTCTTTGTTCCTCTGATTGTGGGAACAGCTGGAGGGGGATTTTGAGCAGAAAGATAGACCCTCTGACTGATAATTCACGGCCTCAGTCTTCACTCCTGCTTTCTCTTCCCCTTTCCAGATACATCCAAATGCCCTCATCCATACCATCTCCCCTGTGATGTCTTCCTCTCGGCCCAAAACAGATGAGGCTCTGGATGGAGGTATGGGTCACCAGAGACCAGGGATAGGGGAAGGTTGGGGTGAGGAAGGTATCTCTTCTTTCTGCTCCTGCTCCTGGAAGGAAGTAGCTCTGCGGGCCTCAGAAAGCCAGATGCTGGACTGGGGTCTGTGGGTGGGAGCCTCTGCAGAGTGGGTCCAGGGTTTGGGTAGAATCAAGATCTAGGAGCAGCAACATCTCCCAAAGCAGTCAAGGCAACCTGGCCTCTATTTTTACAGGTTTGTGCCAGGGTTTTCACTGCATTTTTGTTTCCCAAGAAACATACATCAATGTCTGGAAATGTTCTGGGTGTCACAAGTGGGATGTGGGTGCTCCTGGCATCTAGAAGGTAAATCTCAGGGATGCTGCCAAACACCCTACAATGCACAGGACATCCCCCTACAGCAAAGAGTTCTCTTGCCCCAAATATGCATCAAACCATGAGGGAGAAGCCCTACCCCAAGGAATCTATTATCAGGTAACCTAGAGAGGCACGGGGCCCCAGACCATCTTCCTGGAGCTCAGACTGGCCACGCCCCCTACCCATCTCCAGGTTGTCACCCGCTTCTATAAAGGCAAGTCATGGTGGAAGGCAAGTCACGGTGAGTGAGTTCCTAAAGGTGACACTCCCAGCAGGCAAGTGAGTGTGGGAATGAGAATGCAATGTCTGGTGAAGGGGCTTCAGCTCCCTGCCCTCCCCAGCCAGCCCCATTCAGGTGCTGTCCAGGAGCTTCTGCTGGGATCTGCACCCTCAAAGGACTTAGCCCCAAGGATGGGGTGACACTGAATAAACCATAGTTCTTACTTCCCTGGTCATCTTGCTCAGCCAGCCTCCCAGCCGTGTTTGTGTGTGTGTGTGTGAACATGCACACATACAGATAGGACAGGGAAGGACAGGGCTCCCTGCATAAGCAAACTACCTTAGGAATCACCACCTTTACTGGTTCCCTGCTGAGCCCTCTCGAGCCTCCAATCAGTACTGCTGGAAGCCAGTGACTGCTCCTTTCATTGGCTGCCCAGTGGGCAAGGGGGCAGCAGTGATGCAACGAGGTGACAGCATTGTGAGCCACAGTCAACAGGGAAAGAGTTTTTGAGTCTGAGGTTCAGCTGTGTGACCCCAGCTCCATTACTGACTTGCCACTTCACTTGGGACTTTCCTCATCCTTAGAATGAGGGAAGAATGACAGCTACCACTTGAAGCCCACTTATGATGCATCAGGCACTTCACCCGCACGTCACTGTCATAGCAGCCTGGTGAGGATCTGAATCATGCCCATGGCACAGATGACTAAATGCAGGGGAAGTGGTTTTTCCAAGGGAAGAGGGGCAGCAAGTGTAGAACCCAGACCTGTGCCATAGGGTCTGCCTCCAAGAGGTGGGGGAGCTTCCAGGGGCCATGGTGCAAGATGGGGTCACTAAACTCCACAGCAAAGAGGGTCCCAGAGCAAAGGCCTCCAGCTGCATGGTATTTCTTAATGGTGGAAAGTCAAGTTAGGGTCTGGCCCCAGCTGGGTAGGCCCACGGTGCCAAAGGCTACCAAGCAGATGCGCTGTAAACACTCCTGAGTTCCAGAGCCAAAGGCCAGCACTGCTACTGGCTGGGCAGGCCCGGCCTTGCTAAAAATAGTCGAGCCTTCAGGTCCAGCTCCCTGACAGCGGCCCAAGCAGGCTGCTCCCTGCACCCAGCCTTCTCCTCCCCTCCTCCCCTCCTCCCCTCTGCCAACAGGGCTAGAGCCAGGCTTCTAGAAGGTACAGAGATGTTAAGACTTTCACTTCAGGCCGGAGAAGACGGTTAGGCTGATGTCCAGTGGGCAAGTTCCAAGTTCTTGTGGGGCCATAATGGGGCAGGGGTCCTGACCTCAACATCCCACACATCTCCCTCTAACGGAGGAAGCTGTCAACCTCCAAGCCCATTCGGGGAAGGAGTGGCGCCAAGGGCAAAACTCGGCCAATTTCGCCACATCTTGCAATGGATTCTGAAGCCCCCTTGCCGTTTCTCTTTTCCAGCACAGACTCTTCCCGTTGACAGCACCGTGCGGTTTATGTATTTGCCGCGGCTTTCTGAGGTCTTCTGCGGATTGTCTTGGGGAGGCCCCGGGGATTGCGGGATGGGGCAGTGGCTGGCCGGCAGGCCGGGCCGGGAGGCAAGGGGCGCGGGGAGGGAGGCTCTGGAGCGCGGACGGCCGGGGATTTCCTTTCAAAGGTGACTTAGAGCCGCTTCATATGGGTAGCGCCCTCCCGGGAGGGCCCTAATGGCGAGTTTGGCAGAGTCAGCGAAACGCAGCGCCGCGGCCGGGCGGCGGGGAGCGCCCTCTCCCGCGCCCTCGCGGTCTCCCGCGCCGGGCAGCGGCGCGCACGGGCCATTTGCAGCGCAGGCAGGCTCGCGAGCGGCCGCCGCGCACCGGCCGGAGCGGGGGGCACCATGGAGCTGAAGAAGGACAGCAACGCCGTGTCCATCGACATGCTGCTGATCGTGCACTCGGAGAAGCGGCGCGCGGCTCAGGGCGCGCACTCGGACCGGCCGGCGGACCCGGGCGCGCCGCCGCAGCGCAGAGGAGGTAACGCGCGCTCGGGCCGGTCCCGGCCCCCGGCCCCTCGACCTCCTCGCCCCAGGGCCTGCCCGCCGGGGGGCGCCCCAGGCGCCCCCGGAACGAGGTCAGCGGGGCCGAACTGCTCCCCAAAGCTGGCTGCGCCTCAGCGCTGCGGCTCTGGCGTCCTGTGGCAACGCGTAGCCCCGTGATTGCCCCGGGTTGACTCCCCGTGCATGCCTGCAGTGCTTCCGTCACCCCGGGAGCCAGTTTCCTCTTGGTCACTCTCTGAAGGGTGCAGATCGGGTTGGAAGATGCCCTGGAGGAAAAGGACCAGAGCCTCAGGCCTGAATCCTGCGTGCCCGAGGCCTGCTCCCCACGGGCCACATTGCAGGGCACAGGGGACCCCAGGGAATTCGTGTCCTGGTCAGACTTGGAGATGGGGCCCTCCCTTGGTGTCCGTGCACAAATCATGGCCTCACTTCTTGAGCCCTTTCCCAGATTCCAACAGTAGAAGACGTGCAAGGTGTAACAGGCACACAAGCTGGGGTGGGGTCAGGCTGCTCTCCCCACTTTGGCTTACCTATTATTCTAATTGTCCTGCAGACTTTCTGGGGAAGCAGATACTGGTAAAATAAAACGACTGTTCCCAGAGTGATTGTGGAAAGCAGGACCCTGGTCCCTGCATTCTCCAGAGAACAGGACACAATTTGAGGAGAGTAGAGAAGGATATTAATAGAGGTTAAATCGGCCCCTCAGACATCTGGGAACCCCCAGTCCCTGTCTCTGAGGAAGCCCTCAGGAGCTCTGAGGAGTCTGGTGTGCGGTACACTAGACGGACTGTGCCCTGGCTCTGGGGGTGAAGTCTCACCGCCCTCGAGGTAAAACTTCTGTCTCCCGTCTCCCTTCCAGCTCCAGGGCTCCTCGAAGTCCACCCATCCTGCGGTAGCAGCTGGGCCATGGATGGCTCAGCACCCCCACCCCCACCCCAGGCCATGCAGGCTGCAGCTGCCCCTTGGCTCCTGGTGATGTGCAGGGGAGGCAGGCAGGGGAGAGAAAAGAGATGGTGGAGAGCTGAGAATGTTGACAGTCACCCAGTCTCCAGAGAGATTTGAGGCCTAGCAGTTGTTTGGGTTCTTTGGTTCTGGTGTTCTCAGAGCTGCCCCTGGGAGACGGGTACATGGCCTGCCTAGGGTATTTGTATTGAGGAAATTGATAGAGATCGCTGGGCCTTCCTTGACAGAAATGTGGCTGCCCACTACTGCACGGACTGTGGTCCAGAGGGCCAGAGGCCCCCTACAAGGCACAGCTCCAGGTCAGCCCATGAGTTCCCCCTCCCTCTCCTGCTCTGATCACATTTCTCCAAAAGGTTCTGACACTAGAAAGAGGGTGGAGAACCCAGAGAAGGCCCTGAGACGCCAGGGATGTGAACTGCTCAGTGAAGCGTCCAACACCGGGCACAAACCCTACATGACGCCAGACCAATGCACTTCACACTCGTGATCATGACTCAGAGAAAGAAGACCCCTGTTTCCTGTGCTCTCTCTGCTGATATGTTGCTCCAAATGTTTTCCTGATGAAAGTTTCTCTCAGACATTATAGCAGCAGAGAGACCGTGTCACTTATTGACCATCAGACAGTTGTGAGCTGGAGCAGAGGGAGAGCACACGGTCTCCAATGCCCGCTGGACAGCAGTGATGACCAGGAGGCCCCTAGCTAAGCCAGCACATGGGCCCGCTCCTCGGGACAAGCCAAGGAGGAGAAATGCTGAATAAGACCAGCTTGTTCCAAGGCCCCCTGCTGGTGCACAAAAATCCAAAACACACCCCTCCCCCACTTCCAGGTGTATCATGTCCTCTGGTCTGTTCCCGCTCCAGGGCCTGCCAGGCAGGAAATCCTCCCGGCTCTACAAAGGAGGGTCTGAGCTCCGTCTCAGGAGAGCGAAGCTTGGTTACTTTCACGGGCAGAGGACCGACTGAGGGTGTGAGCAGGCAGCTTTCTGCTGTGTCCTTGTGGCAGAAAAGATTAAGAGGGACAAGGAGGCAGGGAGTGTGTGCGCTGGGTATTGGACTGCAAGATGGCAGAGATGCCTTTCCCTTTTCTGCAGGGCCCTAGCATTTCCCCAGCCATTTCCTTAGAGCCGCGCTTCTCTGAAAGACTCCTGGAAGCCCTCAACTCCTGTTCCGTATTTGCCATAGAGGAGGTAGCCTAAAGCTGCCTGCACCAGGTCTGAAAAAGCTTCAGTACCTCAGGATTTCCCCCCAAAGTCAATGGGACACGTGCTTTCCACTTCCTGGGTGTCAGTGAGGGTCCCGAGTGGTAGGTCCCCGATGCTGACTATGGAGGGCTCTGCAGAAGAGAAGGGTGTCAAGAAAGGATTGGGGGGCGCTCAGAGTGGTGGAAAGGGCTGGAGATTCAGATTGGAAGCTGAGCTTCCAGGAACATGGCCATAGGCTGCAGAGCAGGACTGTCCTGGTGAGGAGGCCTCCGCTGCCACCAAGGAGCCCTCGATGCTCCTTCCACGCCAGCAACTTGATTTTATTGCAGCTGCTTGCACTGCCAGAACATATGCCAATTCTGTGCCAGGAACTCGACCTTGCGGCCACCACTTCCAGCCGCCGCCAGAAAGAGAGAGAGAGAACCACTTCTATTCCCTTCCCTGTTGCCTCTCCAGGTCCCGAGATGGAGTGAGACACAGGTGCATCTCAGCGGATGCCTCGGCCACTCAGGGTCCCTGCTCTAGCTGCAAGGGAGGCTGGGAGAGCAGGCAACTGTCCCTCTCAGTTGCCATAGAGATCTATCACCTTCCATCTTTGCCCACTCCCCACCCTACCTTAGGACTCTCAAAGTGAAAGAAGGTTCACCACACACGGAAATAGGCAGGCAAAATGAATGTCTTCTAGCAGATGAAGAATCTAGCAGATGTCTTCACAATAATGCTTCCATACTTATGCAGTGGAAACATGGGAATGACAAAGAGGCATCTCCATTGTGAAAATTCTCCCTGAATGATCCTGATAACCAACCACCACCCCTGAAAACTACCGCGGTAATATTTTTTTTAATGTTTTAAATGTGGAGGGTTGCATTCATTCCTTTGAGCTCTTCTCATTTGTGGGCAGCCTCTCTCAGTTCCCTAGAGAGCCACATTCCGCCTTTAGCTCAGATCCATTCACAACCTGTGCCCTTGATCTGAGTCTCCTTCCACAGAGGGCCTCATGCCGGTCTTTGTCACTTCACAGGATTTCAAGGCGTCGGGAACGGAATCCGGAGATGGCAGAAACTAGAAGGAAATGACCTACATGGTAAATTCTATCTTCATTTTATTTTCTTTCCAATCTCTTGAATTTAACACATTGAAAAATGTCTATGAATGTTGCGTTTCACTTGTTTGATGACTGGCCTAGACATCTAACCACTCAGACAGTGGCTGCTTGTGACTCAGCCAGGCCTCTGGGGCTACTGTGACCCTGGAAGATTTCCCTTGGCATCAGGTCCCCCAGTTTCCTGGAGGCTGTTGGGGGCGGCAATGCTATCCACTTGAGCACCCACTTGTTCACTGGCTGAGCTATAAAGAAAACCTTGGCATCATTTGGGATAGTGGATTTGGGTGTGTCCCCAGGGGAGGGGCTTCCCAGGTTATGCAGGGTATCCATCTTTTAAAAATCTTTCTAAATAGGGAAGACAGTGGCCTGCCTTGGGTGGTGTTACTCAAGGCCTGGGAAGATGCCAGTCCAGGGTTCTGTGGCTCCTGGCCTGGAACCCAGAATACAATAAGATCTGAGAGAAATCCCAGCTTCCAAAGCCACCTCTTTATGGTGCCAGGCGTCAGTCACCCTGCAAGCCCAGGATTTCTCTGGCAGTGCCATGCATGGACCATTATACTGGGCCTTATTCTGGCCCTCCTGGATTCATAAGCCCAGCCTCCATGGACAAATACTCTGGAACTGCACTGTGTGCGTGTGAGAATTCTAGCAAGAATAAGACCTCCACTCCCAGAGCCCCAGTAAGGGACTTAGTCAGACCCTGGCTGTCTGAGCCCCACGATCAGATGACTGACTCATCAAATGCCAGCGGGAAGGACCCATCCCCCATGACCCTCCACAAATGGAAAAACAAGACCCCAAATGAACAAGACTGAGCACCTATGTTCTGCCATCCTTCTGACAGTAACAGAAGGAGAAGACGAACTTCTAAAGTAAATTCATTCATTCATTCCCTCAGTAAAGGTGTACAGTGATTGCTTTGTTCTGGGAAGTGTTCCAGTTGTTGGAGATGAAACGGCGAATGGAATAGTCAGAAATGCCTGCCCTCCTGGGGCCATGTTAAAATGATGGCATCATAATGCCATTCACCCCAGCCAGGTCTCAGCACCCTGGAGGTGAAGAGCTTGCCTGTATCCCCTGCTCTATGCATGGAGATAACTCGTCCTCAAGACACCCTCCCCCACTGAGGGACCACCTTTGGCGTCCTGGCTGATGGGCATGCATGCGTGGGATGTCTTCCTTAACCTTGCTGTGGGACCATCAAATGGGAGACACATCAGCTCTAGCTCTACCTAAACGAACAGCTAAGTTAGCAAAACTGTGCTGTGAGCTCATGAGAATTACAAAAAGAATCAGGCCTCCAAGAGATCTGACAGCCTCAGAAGCACATAGCAGCCCATGCAGGCAGGCATGCCCCACCAGTGTGAGGGTGCCTGGAAGGCAAGTGGATCATGTAGGAGGAAAAAGACACCATGTCTCTATTTGTTACAGCTCCTACTTCACCTGAGTTGTTGGAAATTCATCTTATGGCTTCTCAGGCATGTTATTACTTTAGGAGAGGATTGAAGTATACTGAATTCATCCCCTTTTTACCATCTTCAGGTTTCCTGGTTTGGGGGAAGATTAGTGGAAAAACATAACAAAACACAAAGAGACACAGTAACTATTATAAGACTCTTCTTAAAGACATGAAGTGAGTACTAGGTGCTAGCCAAGAAAAAGAATGCTTAAAGTAGTTCTTGCAAAATCACCCAAGAATTAAGTTTTAGGTAAATGCGGTGCTGGAGGGAGACCACAGAGAAGCCTTGAGCTTGGGAAAGAGGATTCCACCACTCCACCAACATATGTAATTTAAAATTAACTTTAAGTAAAATTCTGTTTATTTTTTCAAGTGACATGCTTGCATGCCTGCAGAAGTTAAAACTACAGATTCTTTCTGTGTTTTCTCATGGTGAGATTCTGGGTACATACTTGCCTTGTTGGTGCCCAAGTCACCCAACCCTGGTGACCAACATGGTGCCCAGCCCTGGAAACTGGACGGCTTTCACCTGAGAAGGAAGCAGCTGCTGGCTTGTACTTGGTGGAGGGTGCACAAATGTGGATGAACATGCTGTTGGTCCCCCCTCTTGCTACCCATGCACTCCTCTGGCTGGGGTGCTGGCAGGGTGGGGGGAGCCCAAGTGCTCCAAACTTTTCCGAGCAGCAGGTGTTTGGGCTGAGCCATCAGCTTGCCCAGCAACGGGCTTCCCCTGCTGTGATTGGCTGCTTTCCTTGCTCCTGGCCGAAGTCTGCCTAGCAGCACAGGGACTAATGCCCCACAGCCACAGGGAAACCAGTTGTGCAGCCGTGACTATAAATACCCTTACAGCATCTATGCCAGCCAATCATCCTCCTTGAGGATTCCCTTCCCAGATCCTGTTTCCTCCACCCGGCAGCCGAGCAGAGATTACGGCCAGCTGTGCCCACAGGAGGTGGCCTCTTTGTCCTCGCCTGGGTCTGGCCTGGAGCTCCAGCCTAGCACATACTGCTTCACCCTGAGTTGGCACACACAGTGGTCCTGACCCTTGCCCAACTGACCAACCTCAGCCTTCATGGGGCTAACTGACCTGGTTGGGCCTGCTACAGAGAAGCCTAGAGTGGGTGGGCTGCCCCAGGCAAGACCCTCCCCCCAGGAGGAGAGCAATCCAGTCCAGCTCAATGAGCCACCCACCCAGCGTGACCGGCTTCTGCCTGGCCCAAGGCATGGAAATGCTGAGTGGCAGCTCTGGTTAGGATACAAGCGATGACATACGAACAGAGCCAAATCAGGCCAGTGCTCCAGAGGCATGCTTGCACCTGTGCCAGTGGTCACTTCCAGGGACAGGCCCAACAGCCTTTTTGCAGCTCAGCAGGAGGCCAGGGGAGAAGATGGCAGGCCGGGGTGGTAGTGGCCCTTCCCTAGCCTCATCCACACCCCTCTGAAGCAGAGGTTCAAGGGCAAGATCAGACCATCACAGCAGCCATACATGTACAGCAGAGATGTAGGGGAGGTGGTGCTTCCCACAGGAGGGGCAGGGGGCACCCTGCCATGGTCTATGGCAGGAGCTGGGCATGTATCCATAGCAACCTGACTCCACTAGGCTCTGAGCATGGCTCTGTGTCCCAGGAACATGAATATAGCCAATGCATGGCAGGAGCCCTGCAAATGTTGGTGAACCTGAACCACGCTGCAAGCACCCCAACTCTGAGGCTAGAGTAGGATCAGGGTACCCTCCATTCCTCTCAGAGAGAGGTAGGAGGCTGAGTTCAGAGTCAGGAGACTTGGGTCCAAGCCCGGGGTCTCACCTGGCCATGGGGTCTTTGGCAAAAAGTTAACGAGTCAAAGCCACGGGCCCATGATCGAAATAAGAGCCTTCCAGGCTGCTCTGAAGAAAGATGTGGCGATCAGGGAGGCCTCACCATGTGCTATGGAAACTGGCTTAGCTGCACCAAAGTCAGAAGTAGTGGTCACTTAGCCTGTGGGAGGCGTGCCCTGCTTTTGGAAAAGAAGCTAACCTCTGCTGGCCCCCATTGAGAGTGAGAGGCTGTGTGTACATGGGCTCCTAGGCACTTGCCTGTGTGTTCAGATGTAAGATTCTACTGATTCATATGCGTTGATACCCAGCTTGGCAACTCTCTGCTCTGCCCAGGGAAAATTCCATCCTATTCTGGGCCTCGTGGTCACTGTAGGCCCTGCTTGTCTTCCTTCAACAGGGAACCTGGTGGAGAAGCAACATGCCCAGCAGACCCAGGTCATCACTTCCTACGACAACCAAGGTAAGGTTCTGCCACTACCTGTCACCTCCCCCCCAACTCCTGTGTGCCCAGGTCTACTGTCCTGGCCAGAGAGAGTGGGGTCAGAGCACAGACTGCGGAGAGCAGGGCCCTCTCTGCCCCAGAGATGCTGGAGCACCCTTCCCTCCCCCACATTCCATGGGAAACAGTGAGAAGCTGCCTGTGTCCTGGGATAGAGCAATAAAGTCCTTGGGCCACAGAATCCGCTGCTGTCATCATCATCACCCTGGTTGTCATCACTTTCGCTGAGTGCTAACCTCATGTCAGGCACCCTGCCAGACCACATGGTCATTCTCATGTGAGTTATGCCTCGCAACAGTCGTATTTGATCAGTACTCTTATTGTCCTCATTTTACAGATGAGTAAACCAAGGCTTAGAAAAGTGGGTTTTTGTCCAAGATCATATGGCCAGCAAGAGTCAGAGCTGAAGTAGTCTGTGCCCTAGCACCATCCCCGCCCGCCACCGCCCCAACCACCATCAAGACCTCAGCTGTCGCTCCGCTCACAGCACTGCACCTACAGCCTCCCTGGGAACCGGCTTCCCCCGCCAGCCCGCCGTGGTCAGGCCCTCCCTCCTTCCGAGTCACAGCGGTTCCCTGGCCTCTGCCCCTGAGACGGAGCCTTCCCCAACAGGGCCCTCCACCCTGGGACAAGTTTATCTCAGCAGAGGGGATTGAGAGGGCCCTTCCTTAGGGATCCTCACTTTGCTGGATGGATCCTCCCAGAGGGGAGGGCAGGCAAGGGCATCCACTGCTGACTCTGCAGGCGACTAGATCTGAGAGCACCTCAGGGTGGAGACAGGGTGGCTCACAGCTACAGCTGGAGGAGAGGCCAGGTTACAGCCCCACCCAACGTCCACTCCCCCATTCACTCCCCTCCCCTCCCCGAGGCCGTGGCTTTCTGCTCTGGGTTGAAGACTCAGGGCCTGGTGCCTGAGAGCTTTCATAGACTTGGACCTAAGATGTCACCACTGGTGCCCTCAGCACTCATGTCCTAACTTCCAAGGTTATGTCCAGAAGGCAGTGAGGAGGAAGCCCTGGAGGACTCAGAGGTTCTCAGGGAATTGCTCTGTAACACCAGCCAACTCAACATCCCCAAGGAAAGATGCTGGCAGACAGTGAAGAAAGGCCTGTCAGCTCGAGTTCCCAGCAGGAAGTGGCTAGCTCTTCTTGCAATCTAGGTCAGTATCCATTTAGGGCAGGATTCCTGGGACGATGGCTCCAGGACAAACCCAAGGTCACTCAGTGGGCCCACCTCAACCTGTTACCCCTCTGAGCACTACAGACAAGCCTGGGCCCCCCTCTTCTCTGAAATGGACTAGCAGCAAGCAGCTCACCCCATATAAGAATGAGTGACATAAGAGTGAATGACACCTCACTGAAGTGAGTGTGGATTCAGTTCAGTTCAGTTGCTCAGTCGTGTCCGACTCTTTGCCACCCGATGGACGGCAGCGCTGAGTGTGAATTAACAAGTATTTATCTTACTTAGTTCTGGCCATACCCCCTGGTGGGGTCATGATATTATCCCTGTCTACAGAGGAGGAAGCTGAGGCTGAGGGTGCTGTGGTCCCCAAGCAGGGCGCTCCTGCCAGACCTGTAGGATAGGACTAGTGAAATGGGGCCTTCCAGTCACCAGAACCTTGCCTGTACACCATACCCTGGCTCTTGTGGGCCACTCACATGCCTCCTCCTGGGATCTGAGGCTTCCAGAGGTGGCCTTGGACAAGGTCCACTGAAGGTCAGGATGGAATGGGCTCTCCAGGTCTTATGGAAGCCTGGACCACAGCGAGGGAGAGGCTGTGCTGCTCTGGGGCTGAGGCAGAGTGCCCACTCGTGCTGATCCATTCATTTCACAAAAAGCAGCTCTGGATGATGGCACTGGGGATGCATCAGAGAACACAACAGACAGTGTTCCGTCCCTGTGAAGCTGACACCTGGTGAAGGAAACTGATGAACCTGACTAGAAAAATGCAAGGTGTTAGATAAGACTGGGGGAGGAAATAAAGCAGGAAGGGGCATGTAGGGGGAAGTCAAACAGCTGAGTATTCATTTCTGGTGGCTGCTGTGACACATATTCTCAAACTCGGTGGTTTAACACAAATGTATTTATTCTCTTCAATGGGCTTCTCGGGTGACTCAGTGGTCAAGAATCCACATGTAATGCAGGAGACCTGGGTTCAATTCCTGGTTCTGGAAGATGCCCTGGAGAAGGAAATGGCAATCCTTTCCAGTATTCTTGCCTGGGAAATCCCACAGACAGAGGAGCCTGGCAGGCTACAGTCCATGGGGTCACAAAGAGTCGGACATGATTTAGCAACTACAACAATATTCTCTTCAACAGTTCTGAGACTACAAATCCCATACCAGTCCCACTGGGCCAATCAATCTCTTGGTCAGCATCAGGTTCCTTTTGGAGGTTCTGGGTGATAATCTTTTCCTTGACTCTGCTGGCTTCTAGAGGCTGCTGGCACTTGTGGACTTGTAGCTGCATCACTCCAGTCTCTGCTTCCATCATCACATTGCATTCTCTCTGTAAAGTAGTTCTATCCCGATGTTTTATAATAATCCTGATGATGGCATTGGACCCACCCAGATGATCAGGATCACCTTTCTATCACGAGATCCTTAACTGAACCTCATTTGCAGAGTCCCCTTTGCCGTAGAAGGTAACATTCACAGGTTCCCGAATTAGGACATGGATATCTTTAAGGGCCATCATGCAGCTACCACAGGGAACAATTTAAAATAGAGTGGTTGAGAAAGGCATCCCTGAGGTGACATTTGAGTAAGGGAGGTGATGAAGGAGCAGGTCACGCGGCCTCTGGGGAAGATCTCCCAGCAGAGGGGGTGGTAACTTTATGCAACAGGTGACAGAATGATCATGGGAATCTTGGATCTTCACGCGGAAGAGGTCTTTGCAAGATTCATCTGTGACGGGCGTGTGCGTTGAATGAGAGGGGAATGATTATAGGAGCTCCAGTGACCTCAGGCCCTGAAAGTTATTCTTGACAAATCAGATTTCTGTTGAGGCCTCCTTCTGGGTCACCTAACCTCATCCCCAGGCAGACTGCCTGTGCCTTCTTTGATCAGGCCTGCACTAGGCCTCCAACTGCTATGTTTCCAGACCTGGGACATCCCTGTTGAGCTCCATTTTGCAGAAAGAATCATGAATGGCCCTGGGTTTTCAAGAGCCCCATGGAAGCCAGGGTCAGTCAGGCTGCAGAAGACAGTCTTGATCACACCTACTGGCTAATGCCCCGTGGTCTTGGCCCTGAGCTCTGGCAGTCACCCCACACTCTCAGTCACCCCACAACTAGAGCTGCTGCTCAGGGCTTCCACCCTGTGTCTGACTGTACCTGGTGTGGCATCTGCAGAGCTGGACTGTCCCCGTCATCAATCAGCTTGCTGTTCCCAGGGTGTCAGAGCTTACACTTCCTGCACTAATGCTGGCTACCACACTCTGGGCAGAAACCTCTGAACACCCAGCCCAGGGCTGTTTAAGAGTTGGGTTTTTTTAGAAATACTTTAGCTGAGATTTTCTGACTCAGCTACTGCAGGAAAAATTCGAAGGCACAGAATCCAGGTTGTAAAGGTGACAGCCGGTTATGGAGAGAGTTAAGGAGCATCTTAAGTCAATGATGACAAATATCTGACATGAATGCCGTACCACTGCCCCCCCCCCAGCACACACACAAATACACCCACGTATGTATGCATACACACACTCACATTCATATACACATGCACACACCTGACAGTCTTTGCTAATTGATAAGCGCTCCAGGCAGCCACTTCCAATCAGTCAGAGTTAATGAACAACACAAAATCTGTTTGCCATCTCTGTATTAGGTGTTCAGGGCAAATTAGGTCTTCAGACAAAGCCTGATTCAAACCCACAGAGACCTGGAGAGAAGCTGTTGGGTGGGAGGACTCTCCTGATCGGGTAGAAGGCAGGCCCAGGGCAGCAGGTCGTGGACATGCTTAGGCCTGCCTGCTGCGTCACCACATCTCTGGGGGTGGGAACAGGGTCTGGCAACCACTTCTCAGGTGTAGCAAAAAATAACCACTAATACGCTTTTACTAAGACAGCCAAAGTTTCAGCTTCACAAAATGCTGTCTGGGTGATAGCTGGGAGAACTGGGAAGTGGTAACATGAGAAAGTCTGGAGCAGGTGATCCGAAATCCCGGGAAGGCCTCCTTGTACTTGTAACTAAGATTAGTGTCGTGGTTTCTGACTGTACTTAGGGTTTAGATCTCACTTTAAAGTTTGTCCAAATGATGTTCCATTTTTTATCACTGGCAAATTAATGTTTTCTTTAAATTAAGAGTTTTGTTTGGTAAGGAATGTTGTAGTTGGTAAACTTTCAGCATTTCACACCTTTAGGAAGCAAAGGGTGGTACTGCAACCCTGATCACTGGGGATAGTGTGCCCAGGTCCAGGACCGTTTGGAGCAGAAAAGCCTCCCAGAAGTGCCCTTGCACACCTATGAATGAGAGCGAGAATCACACCCATCAGGGAGGCCGGGAGCTTTGCTGTTCTCTTCCAGGGAGTGACGATTAACAGCACCACTTGGGGCAGAGCCAGGAGGGGGCCTCAGGAAAATGTCAGATCCCGGGAGCGGGGACCAGGGAGAGGCGAGGCAGTGCAGGAAGGGAGAGGTGAGAAGGGGTGACTGATGCCTGAAGGGTGACTGGCTGGTGAGCTTTCAGCCAGGCGAGTGCCCAGTGGGAGACTACCTCAGCACCCACCCCGGAAAGGGCTTAAAGAGTTTTGATTTTCAGCTCGCTCATTCTCTGACAGAGCGACATGGCTGGATAGGAGTGGTTGGAAGTACCTGGACATTAGGAGAAGTTTGGGAAAGAGGTTTGTTGTTGAGCCCTGGTAGTTCAGCTGGTAAAGAATCCACCTACAATGCAGGAGACCCCAGTTCATATTCCTGGGTCAGGAAGATCCCCTGGAGGAGGGATAGGCTTACCCTAGAA